TCCTCCCTCCCTTGACCCCGCTACTTCCCCATCTTCCTCCCTCGACCCCACCACATCCCCATCTTTCTCCCTTCCTTGACCCCGCCCCTTCCCCATCCTCCTCCTTCCCTTGACCCCACCCTTTCCCCCATCCTCCTCCCTCCCTTGATCCCGCCCCTTCCTCATCCTCCACCCTCCCTCGACTCCTCCCCTTACTCCACCCTCTCCCTGCAGTGACCTGTCCGCCTGTTTCTCCCACTGTCACCCTTACCCCCATCACCCACTTGCCTCCCTGTCTGGTTTCTGCCCTCACTCCCAAAGCTGCTCAAGGGAGCCTGTGACCTGAGTCAGGTCCCACCCCTCTCCCTGCTCATGGCCTCATCGTTACTCAGGGTGATACTCACAAGCCCTCCCTGGGCCCATCAGGCCCTGCCTGGTCCCGTTTCCCTGCCGACACCCCCACTCTCTCCCTCCTCCTCCCCTCATCACCCCATTCCAGCAGGCCGACCTCCTTGCTGTTCTTCAGACATGCCTAGCGCGTTCCTGCACTAGGGCTGTGCCCTCTGCCCAGCACATCTTCCCCCTCATGTTCACGTGGTTCTGTCCTCACATCCCTGAAATCGCAGCTCAGATGTCCCTTCCTCAGGGAGGGCCCCCAGCTGGCACCCGCTACCGCCTGCCTTGCTAATTGTCCATCTCGTTGTCCCCGCAAGGGTGGGAGGTTCTGCCCTCCTGATCCTGGCTGTGTCTTCAGCAGCCTGATCAGGCCCTGCCCACAGCAGGTGCTCAATCCCCGACCCAGGGTTCCAGCAATTCTCAGGCCCAGGCCCGCTGGACTCACCTCCTCCAGCCAAGGCCTCCAGCCCCCAGGGCCCTGGAGAGGGGGCGAGGGGCTGCGGCGAGTCTGGCAGAGGCGGTGCCCGGATCCCCCTGGCCTCTGGGGGCGGCGCCCTACAGCTGGGCGGGCTCTGCGGCGTGCCTGGGCGGGGGACCCAGGAATCTGGGGAGGGGCCAGGTGCCGCGTGGGACGGAGAGTCCAGGCCGGAATCCTCCACATTTTCGGGCGACGAGGAGGAGAAAGGGGAGGGGCTGGAGGTGAAGCCCAGGCTGCTAGAGCCTTGGGGAGGGAAGGGGGCGGTCAGCTCCGACCCTCGCCCACTTGGAGTCCCCGCCCATCCTCCTGCAGGCTACAGCAACGTCGAGGAAAGGTCTGGGGGGCCCCCATTCAGTCCTTGTGCAAGCCCCCGAGGCCACGCCTTCTGGTGACTTCCCTCTCCAAAAATGCCCGGCCCATCCACCCAGCCACCGCCCACTGCCCAGGGCCCCGCCCCCTCTATGGCCCCTCCCACCTTCACTCCGGCCCCGCCCACCCCTACACGGGCCAGTCTTCCCTCCAGCCTGGCCTGTCCTCCCGCGGACGTGAGCGGCCTGACTTTGCAATGGCCCCACCCATCCTCCCTCTGGCCACACCCATGCCCTCCAATCCCTTATCCCCATCACCTGTAAAATCTTCGTGGTCAAAGGCTGACTCCAGGGGCGGCCCAAACAGGTTCTTGGACACCTGCTCCTCTGACTGCAATTTCTCTGCACAGCTAGAGAGGAGGCCAAGAGGGCTGCTTCTATTTTTCCCAAGCCTCATCCCACCCATTTTTTTTTTTTTAAGGCGGAGTCTCACTTTGTCACCCAGGCTGGAGCCCAGTAGCCCGATCTCTGCTCGCTGCAACCTCCGCCTCCCTGGTTCAAGCAATTCTCCTGCCTCAGCCTCCTGGGTAGCTGGGATTACAGACACCTGCCACCACACCTGGCTAATTTTGTATTTTTAGTACAGACGGGGTTTCACCATCTTGGCCAGGCTGGTCTCCAACTCCTGACCTCAAATGAACTGCCCGCTTCGGCTTCCCAAAGTCCTGGGCTTACAGGTGTGAGCCACTGTGCCCAGCCTGTTCCCAGTCTGGAGTTCCATTCCCTCAGCTCCCTTCACAGCCACCTCCTGGCTCCTCCGTGGGGCTTAGCTCCAGGTCATTCCCTTGGGGAGGATCCCATCCCTACCCCAAGCGAAGTCACCTCCTCCTTTCTTCACCTCGTCGGCCTTAGTTTCTCCATAGTACTTAGAAGTATCAAATATGCTCTAACTTATTTGCTATTTTTTTTTTTTTTTTGAGATGGAATTTCACTCTTGCTGCCCAGGCAGGAGTGCAGTGGCGCAATCTCGGCTCACCGCAATCTCCGCCTCCTGAGTTCAACTGATTCTCCTGCCTCAGCCTCCCAAGTAGCTGGGATTACAGGCATGCGCCACTGCGCACGACTAATTTTGTATTTTTAGTAGAGACGGTGTTTCTCCATGTAGGTCAGGCTGGTCTCGAACTCCCGATCTCAGGTGATCCACCCACTTTGGCTTCCCAAAGTGCTGGGATTACCAGTCTTATTTGCTATTCTTAAAATCTGAGTCACTAGAATGTGACTCTGAGAAGGGAGACCTGTCTCAGAACCCAGGCCCTAGAACAGCACAGGTACACAGCAGGCACTCAATAAATGTTCATCAAATGAATGACTAAATGGTCCCTCAAAAGCCAGTATAGGTCAGGTGTGATGGCTCACACCTGTAATCCCAGCACTTTGGGAGGCCGAGGTGGGCAGATCACTTGAGGTCAGGAGTTCGAGACCAGCCTGGCCAACATGGTGAAACCCTGTCTCTACTAAAAATACAAAAATTAGCTGGGGTGGTGGCGGCTGCCTGTAATTCCAGCTACTCAGGAGGCTGAGGCAGGAGAATCGCTTGAACACGGGAGGCAGAGGTTGCTGTGAGCCGAGATCGCACCACTGCACTCCAGCCTGGGTCACAGAGTGAGACACCCTCTCAAAAAACAAAAACAAAAAAAATCCAGTGTGACTTCAACTCCTAGTCAGGACAAGATAACACCAGGCAGAGATACGGGGAGGCGGAGAGAGGAGGCGGGGACAGCCCCAGCCTGCCCACTCATGTGGAACCCACCTGCCAGTTCTGGGGGCAGACCGTGGCCTCTGGGGTTTCCCAGCAGCGTCCCCTACAAGAGATGCACCTCTTTGAGTCTGCAATGCTCCCCACTCTACAGACCAGGGGACTGAGGTTCAGCGCCATCCAGATTCAAGCCTGAGTCAGCCTGTCTCCAGATGTCAGCTCCTCCTGGCCCCAACTATCCCTTTCAGCTCTTGTTTAATAATGACCTCATTTTACAGAAAAGGAGACTAAAGATCAGAGTGGTTAAGCAGCCTGACCCAAGTCACACAACAGAGCTAGGATTCAAGTCCACACCCACAGCCTCCCCACCTTCGCATCCTCCCCACTCAAGACCGAAGGCTACTCACGTGAAGAATGGCGTTTCATGGTGCCCTGTGGACAAAGGGGGCAACATCACATACGAGGGCATCCAGCCAGCCTTGCCAGCACCACCCAGGGCACCCCTCCCACACCTCACCCCTGGGCCGGGAGGAAGGATGAGGCTGCCTGCGGTGGCCCTGAGCTGTGCTGCTGCGGCCTCGGAGCTGCAGGCCAGAGCCCGGGCCGGGGCAGGCTTGATGTGCACATAGAACTTGCGGGGCTCTTCATCGTCGAAGTCGGAGTCGCTGGATGAGAAACGGGAGGGCTCGGCCGTGCGTGAGCTGCGGTCAAGGTCCAAGCCAATCCCAACACAAGCTTCCCCCCAGTCAGCTCTCCAGCTCAGCCTCGTCCCTCCCTGCTCACACCCTTGGAGGTCCTGCACAATCCCATCGCTCACCGCTTGCCACCTAAGTCCTGACACCCACCCCACTGCCAAGCCTTTGCACAAGCCTGCCCAGCCCTAATTGGCAAACTCCTATTCAGCTGCAAAACCCAATACTGGTGCCCCCTCCTCCAGGAAGCCCTTCCAGCTCTCCTTTTCTCTCTCCCTCTTGCCCAACGCTGAGCCCATAGAGTGGGTGATTGCATTTAGGTTGGCTTCATCCACAGGGGAGACTCTCTCCAGGATGTACAGAGAAGACTGCTGAAAGTGAAGTGATTATTGTCCTTGCTGTGCCAACAACTGCCCCCAGGGGGTGCCAGAAGGATATTGTTCTGGGTCACGTCGGGCCGGACGGTGAAACCTTCATCATCCACCTCTGGACATGTCTAGGGAAGTCGGGGGGAGGGGCAGCGGTGAGTCAGGCTACCGGGTATCAAACCTGCCATCTCACCCTGCCAACTGCCCCGCCCCCAGGCCCTGACTCCGACCCCAAAACCACCCTGATGGCAACAACTGTCTTTCCCTGGTGTGTGGGCAGGTTCCTGGGATAAACTGAGCTTCGGCAGGGACATTATCACGTGGTCCACGGGACTTTGCAGCTGAGGTGGGATTTGAACCCAGCCCCCAGGCTGTGCCACCTCCAGCCCACCCCTCAATCCCGGCTCTTTAGTTTCCAGTAAAGATCTGAACTTTAAGAGCCGAGAGTAGGCTCAAACTCCTCCTGCTTGCAGCCCAGCCTGACCCCTCCCACATCACTCACCCCTGAATCAGGCTCCAGGGAATCTCTGGGGATGGAGGAAGAGAGGTTGCTGTCAGCCTCTGCAGCCCATCTGGTCCCCCCTACACTGGACATGGAAGCTGGGGCAGCTCCCGGGCTGTCATATTGCCCGGAGCTAGCCCTGGAGGCAGTGGGACCCCGGGGCTTGCGTGGGGAGGGGGTTGAATCTGGTTAGCTGAGTAGAGGGTGTTCTCAAACAGTCTGGGAGGCAAGAAATCCTGGAACTCATCTGAAGGGCTGCCCTATGAAGGTAGGGAAAGTGGGGGCTAGACTTGGCAAACAGACAGACCAGTCGTGGGCCAGCTTGGGCAGGGGAAAGGCTAGGCTACTCTGGGACAGGCAGTTCCTGGCCTAACCTGGCAAAAGGAGGAATTCTGGACTAGCCTTGGCAGTGGTAATAGTGAGCTAGCCTGGGCCAGAGGCCCTCCTGGTCTGCCTTGGGTGGAGGGATTCCTGGGCTAGCCTGGAATATGGATACTCCTGGGCTATCCTAGAAGAGGGGTTCTGGGCTAGCCTGGGCCAGGCCGGGCAAGGGTGCTTCCTCACACAGCTGCAGGTGGCTCTGGCTCCCGCTCCCGCCGACTGAGTCCCGGAAGGCGGAAGGCCTTGGCTCCCCGCAAACGTTTCATTGCTGAGGATAGATTGGGGGGCAGCTGAGCACGGGAAGGTGCCTCCTTTCACATTCAGATCAGCCTCCCTCAGCCCCATGGTCCAGCCTGGGCATCCAGGCCCAGACGTACTTGCCTTCCTGCAGGGCAGCCGCACTGTAGGCCTCGAAGTCCAGAGGTCCTGAGATGGGAGACAGAAACTCAACTGAGGGGCCGGGCGCGGTGGCTGACGCCTGTAATCCTAGCTTTAGGAGTCCAGGGCAGATCACCTGCGGTCAGGAGTTTGAGACCAGCCTGGCCAACATGGTGAAACCCTGTCTCTACTAAAAACACAAAAGAATTGGCTGGGCGTAGTGGCTCATGCCTGTATTCCCAGCATTTTGGGAGGCCGAGGCGGATGGATTGCCTGAGCTCAGGAGTTGGTGACCAGCCTGGGCAACATGGTGAAACCTCGTCTCCACTAAAATACAAAAAAAATTAGCCAGGCATGGTGGTGCACGCCTGTAGTCCTATCCACTTGGGAGGCTGAGGCAGGAGACTCACTTAAACCTGGGAGGCAGAGGCTGCAGTGAGCCAAGATCACGCCACTTCACTCTAGCCTGGGGGACGGAGCAAGACTCCATCTCAAAAAAAAAGTTTAGCCAGTCTCCCCACCCTCTATTGAGTTTCTTTTTCTTTCTTTCTTTCTTTCTTT